ACCCCCACCTAGCCATTCTTATTCCCTCGTTACTCGCAGCTTCGCTCGAGGCGGCTCTCTCCTTATTATATCGTCTTTCCACGCCATAAAATCGGAAAAGAATTTCGCCCCCCAAGACAATAGAAACTAATAAATTTGATTACTGATTACACCCGCGAATTTTCGAGAGAAGGTGCGGCCCTTAATGCACGCCAAATCCACTCTACCGTCTCTATAGATCTCCCCAGTGCTTTAAACTTTACTTTCTCATTAAAATTTTTTTGTACGACATAGCGCGTATTTTACGGTAGCAAGTCTGATGTGATAATATGCCATTATTAGTACATCCGTCGAAAAAGAATATTAAGCTTTATGATATAAAGATATTATGAATATTATGTTAGATTCTCTTCTTGATATGTGATAATATTATTGGATAATAAAATAATAATATTTAATTGTAATATAATATAATTTATATATTTGTTGCGACGTTTTTTCGCAATTATAGCAAATCTGATAAAATATCTTTAATTTGAAATAAATTGGGATTTAATTTGAACTATGTTCACTAATGTGATATAATTTTAATACATTATAATTAATGAATCAAATTTTTATATGTTTTATGTCTAGCACAGCATATACATAATATTATTGTAGAAGAATATTGCACAGCTATGTTAGATATTCGTGTTATCGCTCCAGCAGTAACGTCTTATGTTTTAGCTTATATATTTACTCAGGGGAGAGGTAGGTTAGATATTTTCCGGCAATACTGGAAAACGAAAGCGGTAGTAACGCTATCGTCGAAGTTAGATAACGGTCGAGGAGAAATCGTAACGGTAGAACTGGGATGGGTTTTTGGGGTGTGCACAGTTTAAACTTTCCGCGACCCTAAATCTCCGGGACCCGGCTTATGCTTCGTAATATCATAATATCGTAATATCGCAAGAGCGGTTTGGTATAATTAAAGTGGAAGTGTCTTTAAAATAGCCGCAGGTGATTGCGGTAAGAAGCCACCCCACAATCTTTCCGCCGTTTTGCGCTTCTCCCACTTTACGAGCGCCAACAATAACCGATATAGAAACTAATGTGTACAAAATATATCTTTCCTTTCGAATACGTAATAAAGAATCAGGTTGAATTTGATAAATTTAAACTCCCGTAATCCGATAATTCATAATTGTTATTAAACAATTATTAACATTATATATTATAGCCAAAATACAATTTAATCATTTTAAGTAGAATAAAACAATCTTTTCGAAACATAAACGACGGATCTATATTTATTCAAACCTTAAATATATTTATTTTTTAATATTTAATCTTCATACTTTTTTGTACGCAAAAAGCTTGAGTTTTCATAATAAAAATATATAGTAAGAAATTTAGTTTGTACATTCTTGTACTGCACTATATAACTATATATGATAACTATACATGATGATGATGAGAAGGAAAATATTTTTGGGATTTATAACATTTTATAAATATGTCAGTAACTTTTCTTTCAACGACGCATACAGCATATTGACAAATTAATTCCATTAATTTTATCAGTTTATTAATTATTCTTTGAAACATTCTTTCTAACAGCTTTAGGCCCGGTTGCATCAACGTTATTTTGATTTTAAACGAAACTTAAAATTCTCTTTATCTCATTTTAAAAGAGACGAAAAGAGATGGAAAAGAGAGTTTTGAGCCTGTGCAGATACTCATTTACATCAGACAATAACTTTATGTAAAATATAGTTTAAAAATTTATTAATAAAAGATATATAATAAATTAATATTCAATTTATAAATTTTATTTTAATTGGCCATATTTTAAATTACGTTATTTTCTGGCCAAATAATATATAATATTGTATCGTTGTAATATTATACGCAAACGAAATCTCTTGAGAGGAGCCTTGTCAGTTACAGATGCTTAATCTGACATATCAACCCCTACATTCCTACTGCTTTTTCTGATTTTTTGTTGGTACGCAATATCTACAAACAAGATTTAAATATACGGTCACTTTTTACATTCCTTTTATTCATTCGTTTAATATGTCAGTGAAAATGGCCAATATTAGAATGTTACATAATATGATATTCTTGATAATCTTGCCAAGAGATTTAATTAACTTCGTTTAGATAAAGAAATATTTAGTGACAACACCGTATCTCATATATATCTTCCGAAATACTTTTTAATTTGTAAAATATATTTACTATTTTATTTTAAAAAGATAAAGGAAATATATATTTGTGGATTTAATTTTCTGATTGACAATGACATTATAATGACTGTAACACATACTTTTTAATAAACAAAGCAGAATAAACTTTGAAAAATTTTGAATTATATAAAATATTTCTAAAAAAAAGTTCTTGAAATAAAATACTAAATATAATTATTTGAAAATATTATACTTCTGCAACAAAATGTTTCATTTTAATATATAGTAAATTAAAATAAATGATAGACAGTTATCCAATAGTACCAATCTAATGATAGAATTATAATATGTTTAATCTTCAAAAATATTTTAACAGATTTAAACTTCATATAATGCATTCAATTAATTTTAAATGATAATTTAAAATATATATATTTTTTAATTTATCAAAGTTTATTCTTGTTTCTGTTTACATTAAATTTATCAATTTTAATAATTTTGTATTTTCAGAAGACACATCAAAATTTGTAATTACCTACAATTAATTCAAAGACTTCATTTCCATTTTATTTGCTGATGGAATGAAAAATTTATGCGTAAATCTATGCAATAGAAATCTCTTTTACCAACTATCGTGTAAATCAAAAAATATACTATCGATGTTAACAAAATTTAAACATTTAAATTACCATTTAACATACTTTAATTAATTACCATTGATCTTTAAATTTCGATTAATTTATTGCTTATAAATATATTAATAATATTTGATGGTATAAATAATTTTTTCACGAAATCCATAAAAAGAATTTTTCAAATATAATAAATAATTGCAATTGTGAATCTTTGAGGAATTTTTAACCAAGTTTTTAAAAAGTTATTAACAAAATAAGTTTTGAGAAATATATTAAATTCAGTGAAATTAATAATATTAGAAAAAATAAAATGTAACCAATTTGTATACAAATAATTTTAATTAACTTTTTTAATGGATATAGAATCCATTAAAATCATAATTTAATTATAACAGAGAATATTTCGTGATCTAAAATTTATACTTATATATTTTCTATTTTAATTAATTTATATTTACTTTTTCTAACTCTATTTTTGATCTTGCATTTTCAAGTTTTTATATATACTTTTATATATACTTGTTTAAAGTAAAGGATAAAATGTGTAACAATCCTTTTGTAAATAGCGTTTACTTTTTATATTTCTTAAAACTTATTTTGTTAATAACTTTTTAATAAGAACTCGATTAAATGTAACTCACAGCCTTCTAATAATAATATATCAAGATCAAGATTATTGGAAGAGATTATTATTCTCCTCGTTTTCATTTTTACCAATCAATTCAATTTCACTCACCAGCAACGAGTGATGCAGGATTTGCAGTTTGCTCCGTTAACTCATCGCAAACTTCACTTTTGTTGGGAATGCTGCACATCAGTAGCTTTGTCAAGGAAATGAACAAAGGAAATACGATCAGTATTTAATCGCTATTGAATAAACTTTGAAAGTTGATCGCATGATTTATTTTCGAAGGAACATAAAAATCGCAATTCTACTCCGCGATTACTGTCCACGATACGCGAAAATACGAGACAGAATTTACTTTGTTACACGACGGATGTATAAACTGCACTGATCTGTTTTATTATGTACACACTATGGCAGATTTGTCATTAAATCAATGGACGAGCATCTAAAGCCACGATATTGCAGGCGGATTTCCTTTAGCAGTAAATTCCGACCCATTAACGCACTTTTAATGAGTAAACTTCGCGATTTATTGCGAAGAATTCGTGCTCTGTCTGCGTTTGTAACCGACGCGCTCGAAACTGTCATGGCGATCGGACAAACGCGCCACGCGCGGCACGTTGAGTGATTTGAACTGAAGGTAGTTGAAAGTCAAAAATTAAGTTGATATTCATAATCGATTATTACAGTTAAAACTATTTTAGGGTGATATTCATAGTCCGTGCTTATTTTAAAATCTTGAAATATTATATTTAAATATTATATTATGAACCAATCAGACAGCCATATTAGCATCTCAAGACACTACTTAAAATGACCTTAAAATAAGAACGAATTATGAATACCGTCCTCTGATTGGTTCGTTACATCTTAAGACAATCTTAAGTATAAGAATCGACTATGAATACCAGCTTTAGAAATCTTATATTTAAGGCTGTCTTAAGTAACTTTCAAGTCTCATATAACTCGAAAAATTCCGATTGAAAAAGAGATTTTATTGTAGTGTTTTGAAAAGCTCTCGACACCGAAATAAAAAATGCGTTTCATAAAAAAAAAATCGATGACCTGACTTCGATACTGTAAAAAGAATTGATAAGATCAAAATGATAAGATTAGTAAATAGATCATTTTAAACTCACTTTACAACTTTTGTATGAAACATTTTTCTTAGAAATGCTTATTTTTCAAGATAATTAAGAAGTCTGAGATTTTTGTACATATATCCTGTATATAAAATTCATGTATTTTTGTAGTTGAATGATAGTATTATGAATGATAGTATATTATAATATTAGCAACAGAATATTTTTAAACATAATGAATGATATAGGTAAAAAACTTTTAACGATTTCTCAAGACTAATGTCTCTGAGACCGAGTATCGCATGCTATGATAAAACAGCAATAAAGTGAGAAGAAACGATATTAGATATGAATCTATATATTTCAATTTCAAACTAAAACTACCTATTCTGGACAGCTTCGATAAATACAAAAGTTTGGAAAATCTTCAGTAAGAATATATGTTTTATTTTACTTATAAAAGAAATATTCTTGTTGAAACTTAAACATTAAAGTTATTAAATTAATATTGACGTAAACCACCACGTCTAACTGCTGGTTGCATCATTCTATTGGGTGGCGTTATTGATATATCAAGATAATCTCCTATTGTGAATCTGTAACAAAACACATACATGATAATATATAAATGCTTATTAAAAAAAGAATCAACTTTCTAATTGAAATTTATATTACCTTGCCTGGGCTAGAGTTTTGTTATCGTCTGCACCTTTCTGTCCAGAACATGTAACACCAATCTCACGCATGCGATAACCAGAATTGCGTAACTCAGGAGTTACTAATGAAAAATCAAAGTATGTTCCCTTGCTGCGAGCGTCCGGGTTTACTTCCTTAACCAAGCCTGTAATTTCTCGCAAAGTTGCATCCATCCTTCATACAGAAAAATAATTAAAATTAGAGATGATTTTTATATAAAGGCTAATCTATAATATGTTCTTTGCTTCCTATTTCTCTTTATCTCTTATTCTTTATGATTATTTTATCATTAATCATATATTTTTTTTGTTATGTATTAACTTTTTCGAATTTTGTCAATTTTTATCACAGATGACAGAAGGAAATAGGATAAGAAGAAAAAAGACAAAGTAAAAAGTGATAAAAAGCAAGAAACAGAAAGCAATGAGCACATTGAAGATTAATCTTAAAGTTGATATTAAATTATTAAGAATCTTAATAAAATAGAATCTTATAATCTCTCCTCCGTTATAAATAATGATAATATTACCATGTATATATCTGCAGTTCATTTGAAGGCACATTCCCTCTACTATACTCCATTATGTTATGATGACGTCCGGTGTTGCAGAATACTCGCAGTAGAAGCGGACATGTCTGAAATGCAAGCAAGTATAATATTATCGCATTTACGATTAAAAAAAAAGCACTCAAATCCACGAAAAAAACATTTCTGGAAAACACTTGTTATTGTCTTACCTTTTCTCTGTCTACCGGCTTCTCAGGGAGCTGTTTCTCGTCGACTACCATAGATTCTAAAGCCGATGCCATTTCACTTAATCAGAGATAAGTCTGAGAAACTGCAAAAGAATTGCTCTACTTTAATGAGAAACGATAAGAAATGTCAAAATCGTATGATTGTCTGTTTAGGAAAAATATGGCGGGTTCGCTCAATTTCAGAGGTTATGTTTTATTATGTTTTAAAAGGGTGAAAGGCCGTTTCTATGAGATCCTATTGACAGCGCGCGAGTATTCGAAATGATTGATAGCATAATGGAGATTTCCACAAAGGTCGGGGCGATTATTCGTCAGATCAACAGATGTATATACATATACGACGTAATGAGAACAAAATAATTTTATCAAGTAGATTTTACTGGAATCTCTCAGGCGAAATGAAGCGTGGATGATTCACGATTACGTCTGGTTCGCGATATTTTTCGCTTTATTTTTTATGTCTATGTATATATGTTGCTTTATTTGCGCGTATTTGCGAAACTCGATTACTTTATGTGAAATGCACATGTTCTTGAGAAATAAATGTTCTTAAGAAGTAAATTTGAGAATAAATTTTATATAAATTTTTATTATACAAAAATAAAAAATTTTATATAAGTTTTATAAATTGCTGGCCAGAACAAAATAAAAAATGATTAATGACGTTTGTGTAAGTTAAATATTTCATGCGGAGTTGACGTCGATATATCAAAACTTCCATTAACTTGATTGAAGATTCATTTGTCAAGAAGTATTTACAGTCAGATTATATAATTTTAGCAGAAATCGAGCAGAATCTATCGTTTTGTAATAAAAAAAATATATATTATGTTTATCTAATTAACGTTACGGTAGATTTTGATCAGTTTCTACAGTCATTTTTTGTAGTTTGATGCATAAAAAAAATTAGTGACGAATTATGTGTTATTCCTGACAAAAAAAAATCGGAGTATAAGTCAAATGTATAACAGAATAAAAGCATAAACGAAGCTTTTAAGAGGCAAAAAATTTTATTACGTTTTTACTTTCTCTTTACATTCGACTTACCCTTCGATTTTTATTTTCGTCAGAGATGTAACTAGAAATTTCGCCGCATGTAAATTGTTAATTAATCACTGATTAAATTACTCAAACTTTGGAATCATCCAAAGAGAACAGTTTTTAATTGCAACAACGCTTCTGTGTCTATTCGAACAGATTCGCACAACTGGCAACTTTTCTCTAAAAACATTTCTTTTTTATCTTTTATTTGCAGATTTCGCTTATGAATTGATTTGGAAAAACAAAAAGGAGTTTAATAGAGCAGGAAGATTAGCGTAGAAGTCTATACAGCAGACTCAATTTCTTTTTATAAAAGAACGCAAAGAATATATCGTCGCCTCATAGCATTATCTATACGAATGAGGGAGTCTTGTTTACGTTCTCCTTTCTTGGTACTTATCCCTAATCGCGACGAATGACGCTAACGCATACATAATTAACGGAACATTGTCCCACCAGTCCAACTGAAACGAAGGTTTATATTATATTGACACGTTCGCATTTAGCAATACATGAAAGTATTTCTAAATGAATATTTAAGCAGTGATGATGGTGGTAAACTTAATCGGATAGAAATATTCAATCGGACGATGAAGAGGGAGAGAATAGTTTGTGTTTTAATAAAGTTCAACATCACGACCGAGGAGTCGCGTCAAGAGCAGTCATCGAAAAGATAACGGCTTTCGTAAGTCATCGATTATATATTTATATATACATGATATGTGTGTTTATATCTGTAAGGCTATAAATTTTAATAAACATATATCTAAATCATTAATAATCGCTGAAATATTTGGAGCATAGAGAATCGAGAGAGCGAGACCAAGAATTACTTTGTAATTATAAAGTTATAATTAATCAGACCGAATAATAAAACGTTTAGGATAATCCTTCTAAAATTTTTACTGATAAGTATTCATCGATATTTTTTCAATTGAAGTCACGAAACATTGATTCAAAATTTCCTGGCGAAAATAAAAATCGGAATGTAAGTCAAATGCAGTATGAGAAAAAAAAATAGTTGCAATTATCATAATCTAACTATAATTTGTAGTTATTTTTAGGACAACTGCATATTTATAATTATTTTAATTATGCAAATATGCAATCAATTGTACTTAATAATAATCACATAATAATCACATAATATGCACTGCTTTAAAATCTGTTTTAGATTTTTCATATTTTTTTAAGCTGTTATTATTAGTATATAAATAGTAAATATATTTAAGAAAATAGTTGAATTTATTATAATTACGATTCCATTTACTGAATAAAAATGATTATTTTACTTATCATCATTTGTATCTTAAGATATTTTATTATATTAATATTTTTGAAATTATTTTAAATAATAAAATTTATTCACGTTTGAGAGAACTATACATATATGGTTATTATTATACTAATATGTTATAGCAGTAATAACGTAAAAAATATAAAAATGGAGTTCCTAACTCCATTATTTATGATGAAATTAAATTAGTCAAAAATACTTTTCTCTCAGTGTATAAGAAGAAAATGAAATTTTTAACAGACAAAATTGAGAGACAACGAAATGTAAAAGAGATTTTTATGTTCTTTTTTTTTATATTTCACTTTTTCAATTTTTACCTTCTAAAATAAGTTTTACTTACACTTCTGTTACTATCTCTTTATGTTCAACTTACAGCGATTTCATCAATTAAGCCCGTTTTTACTAAAGTAGATTAACCTTAATCTCGGTTCAACTAACTCTTTATCTTTTTCTTATTCTTAAAACTAGATAAAAGAATTAATTGAACCGAGATTAAAGTTAAACTGTATTGATAGAAACGGGCATTAGTAAGATAATTTTAATTTCGATTTAATTCATTCTTTATCTTTATCTAATTCTTAGGATTAGGAAAAAGGAAAAAATATAAACACTAAGTTAAACTAAGATTATTAAAGTAAATTTACATTGATAAGAAACGAGCATTCTATTTATACATTTATTCTATTTATTCTATTTATACTCTAATTTTTTTTCGGAGAAAGACGTCAAGTTTTTTACTCCGATTTTTTTTATATTTTCGCCATGGGATTTCAGATAATTTAACAACTGATGGTGCAGGCTTTTCCCTCTTTTGCAGCAGATATTTATTCTTTTGATAAACGGCTTTTATTAAAGCGCAACGAGTCCCATAGATACGGTGCGGGTGAGTCGCACGGATGCATAAAAATAGTTTAATTAATTAAAGTGAACATGCATCTTTATCGCGTAGCTCCTCGCGCTTTCTTTGCTAAGAGTGGCCAAGAGCACAGAGAATTGAGGGAGCACAGCACGTCGCGTCGATGGCATGTTCGCCCGCGCGTAGTCTCGAAGGGTCTGGAAGCATCTGCACTTCAGTGTCTTCAATCGACAGCATGCGTCGGCGACGTATGTTTTGGTCTCGATACGCGGTAAGCGGCGGTCTCGCGTGAGCGCTGCGATCCGTCCGGATTGTCTGTGCTCAGATGACCTGACGGACCAAGCGATCTTCTTCTCCCGCTCGTATAATTATAACCGCGAGAGATCATATACTGGTGAGCTAAGCATCGGTCTCGATCATGCAGAAAAACAATGCTTGTCCCAACCGCGAAACGATGACAAGTCGTTCAGGTCGCTGCCAAGAGGAATCCCCGTCTCCTCAATCCTCATCTGATCGCTGGAATTTTTCGACGGTCTTGTGAACACGAGTATTATTCTCGGACGTGATTCAGAACATTGTTTACGTCTGCGTCTGATCGTAGCATAGATGTATATATTGCCGCTGACGAAAGTGATAAATTTGCATGCATGCGTTATAACCTATTATGTTTCATTCATAATTTGAGGAATATATACTGATACATGTACCTAATGTTTAACACATTGTCATATTGCTTTTTGAGTCTGATTCTATATAAATATGTATTAAGGGGCATTTCTGTCATTTAATTAACTGTATAATAATGTTGATAGGGTATGACCATTTTCTGGAATGTATGTATGACTGAAATAACGTGGGAAAAATGGTAAGCAATTTACCACAAGAATTTAAGAGATATCAGAGGAACAGGAATCAGCTACGACATATACTTGAGGAAACGCAGCGTACTTTAGAAGTAATAAAACTTGAAAACTTTTTCCCTGGAGGTAATTATCTATATTTGATATTTTTGTTAAATTGATAAATCCATTACATTACTAGTGAACCTTAGATATATGCTAGTTGAACCTTAGATATATGATATTTATACTATTAATGAACCTTAGGTATATGATATTTATAGGTATATGACATTTCTTGTAGAAAATATTATCGAGGAATTGCTGCCACCTTTGACCTTGGACAGGGTGACACACATTCTTAATAATTCTCCTGCAATAGTTATTTTTGGACAAGACAATAAAGCCAAAGCTTCGCTGGTCAACAATTTACTTTCTGTTGATATTTTACCACTGTCTAACGATTCATGGAGATGGGTCAAGATTATTTATGGTCATACAAATCATGTCAGTCTTACATTAGGTTTAGAGTATGAAGTAGTCGAGACGTTAAAGGCAAATGAAAAGTCATGGAGCACACTTCCTCTCGAAGATCTGGAAAAGTCAATGAACGAAGATATCAATTGTCCTACAGTGCTCGAAGTGAAGTTAGATCAAGCAGTACTGAAAGAAGGTGTTCAAATATTTGTTGTCCCCAACAATGGTGTAGTAACAATTCTTGCTAAAGGTCTATTGAAAATTTTACCCATCTTTCTTTATGCTCTTGGAGAACAACCGTTGACTGAGGAAAACTTGGAAGAATTGAGAGATTTGAAAGAGACTTATCCTTATAATCCAATTTTATTCATATCGTCATTAGCTAACGTTTTGCTGGATGGCACAGATGCAGAATTGACTGAATCTGAGCAGCATAGCCTGCAAAGTCGGATAGAAGTGTCGAGCGTATCTAAAGAGTCAAAAAGTGATGATAGTATTAATATTGACAAAATGAATTCACTTGGTCTAACATGGCTGGATCAGTTAAGCAGTTTAGGATTCCTAGGAATGGAAGAGTCTGTGGAAGTTCATCAATTAATATGGCTTGTTGGCGAGCAGTATGTTAATAATTCAAGTGATCTAGTGGATTCATGCAAAAAAACGGACCGCATTTTACATTTTACGCGTGCCTGCTTGCAAAGCTATTTGATTAATGCAAGTACTTATTTGAATGAAATACACACGACCAGTCTACGTAAATTTATTTTAAGTGCATTTGACATGGCACGAAAAATACAGATCACTCCTAGAAGGATACAATACGCCCAGCAAAAAGAAAATGAACTTTATGATAGTCTAATGAAGGTTGTTAATGAACAGCAAATGGAATTGACTGAATTAATACAATGTATTATTCAGGAAATGAAAGATGATATATTAGAATCCACCGATGATATTTTCCAGTATCAGACTGTTCCATTCAATAATAGTGAACAAGCAGAGTGGACCGTTACTGTTCGCGTCGCGACATCGGAAGTTCAACGATTCGTGTTAGGTCGCTTGGGCGAGAAAGTCGCAAAGGAGCTCGTAAATTCGGTCAACTGTCTTCGGGAAACTTTTATTGGGACTCTTCAACGTTGTTTAATAAGTCTCGAAAAGACTTACGAACACGATAGCAGCCTGCTAGCTAGCGATGCCTTAAAGCAAATACTTTCCGCAGCATACAATGTGGAATTGCATAATTCGTCACCATCTTTAGTGCATTCGTTCCTGGAAAGATTGAGACAGCTCTTCAAATCTTTACCGCTACCATGGACCCCCACTCCGACTTTGAATGCGACTTGGAGGAGACAAGTTACTGTCGATATCTTGAATTCTTTATCGGCAGCAAGATTGGCAAAGACAATTTCCATGCAATTCAGAGACAAACTAAAATCATCGCACGACGCTTTCCAGACTGCCTTGAAATCTCTAGAGAATTATTATTCAGGAAAGCTAGAAAGAACCGAGGAGCAGAGAATAGCTATACGAAAGTACCACGCACCTAAGTTAGCTAAACTCGCATTGGAGTCCACGTCGATGATGGATGCGATTCGTTTTGGCATTCCTCATTATGGCAAAGAGATTGGCAGAGGACAGTATGGTGTAGTATTTGCTTGCGATGGTTGGGGTGGAGCACCAGGTCCATGCGCAGTAAAATCCGTTATTCCACCGGACGAGAGACATTGGAACGATCTCGCAATGGAAGTTTATTATACCAGGTCGATACCAGACCATAAAAGGATAGTGAAACTTCGCGGATCTGTTGTAGATCAATTGTACGGCGGAGGATTCGGATTGGGCACTGCAGTTCTCTTAATCACTGATCGATTAAGTCGTGATTTATACTGTGGTATACATGCTGGTCTTTCATGGTTTGAACGTATACAAATAGCAATAGATGTATTGGAAGGAATACGCTACCTTCACTCGCAAGGTCTGGTTCATCGTGATATCAAACTAAAAAATGTCTTACTTGATGTAGAAAACAGAGCTAAATTAACTGATCTCGGATTTTGTATTACCGAAGCTATGATGTCAGGCAGTATCGTAGGAACGCCGATTCACATGGCACCGGAACTCCTGTCTGGTCATTACGATAGCAGTGTCGATGTCTATGCCTTTGGTATCTTGTTTTGGTATATATGTGCTGGGAAGGTTCGATTACCATACGCATTTGAACAATTTCATAATAAGGAGCAATTATGGACAAGCGTACGAAAAGGTATTACTTTATTACATATAGAGGAAAAGATTGAGCCAAAATTATAAACACATTTTTTCTGAAAAAAAAAAAAGAAAAGATCAATTTCATATTTTACAAAAATTATATTAATATTTATATAAAATCTCTCTTAATTTAATTCAACAAAGAATGTATGTTATTATTCTTGAGCTGATAGTTGATAATTTACTGATTTAAGTTCCTATTGGTCTCAGACTTTCTTATTATTACATACTCACGTTACATGAAGTATTAAGCGAATGTATTTACATTAGGACTTAGGCCTGAAAGATTATCACATTTTGACGAGGAATGCTGGACGTTAATGGAACAATGTTGGTCTGCAGAACCATTCAAGCGACCATTGCTCGGTGCTATTCAACCTGTGTTAGAATCTATTCAGGAAAAAGCAGAAAGAGGCAAGTCCTTGCAACTAGGCGCACAAAAACTACAAGAGAGTTCATCATCCAAACAAATAAATCCTGCATTAGCATTAGCAGAGCCTAATAATCAAAGAGGTGCTGTATTCAGTCCGCTTAGACGCAAGGTTTTTAGAGCTGTCAATCCTGTCGCAAGACCTTTTCACAAGACCAAATTTTTCCAAACGGGTATCTGCTCTAACATATTCGTTCAAATGCGAGAATTTTAAATGCCAGGAGATTGAAAATGTCGCGTTACTATTCTGTTACAGATAGCTTATTGATATATTTATTGCTTGGAATGCTCTTGATATATGGCTCATCATTCTCATTTTCATTGATTCGATGATACCCTTAGTAATATTTTATAACACAGTATTAAAGTGACGAACTTTATGTCCGAATTAATTTTTTAAATAAATCACATTTTTTTATCTTTTATAAGATCACATAGAGAATACATATAACGTATGTGTAGCAAAATTGAATATAAAGTAATTGGGCCGAAGTCATTCCAAATAGTATATCATCAATAAATATTCAACAGATTAGATTTTAAATATTTTATAGTCTTGTATGGAAATGTTACAAATTTTATACTGTAATTTTATACTGAATAATGTATATAGGCATTTGATAAACTTTTTATTATTAGTTAACAAAACATAATATGTTAAATCTTTTTTTTTAAAACATATTTATTGCTACAAAGAATAGTATTTTGATTGTTAAATTACTTCTTAATATTCCTAATTGTGACTACATGATTTTGTTAAACCGGGAAATAAAGCCGGAATGGTTAACCATAAATGTATATTGTTGAAGAATAAATAAAGTTTCTCACTTTTGTATTTGCTGTTGACACATATTCATTTTGTTTCTTATAAAACCTATCGCACCTATACATATATACGTATTTATGGATAATACGTATATTCATTATTTCACGAATAGAAAGATTTTCATATTTGATTAGAGAAATTTATTTGTATATATTGCTTTCAGATTATACAGTCTTCACAACCAAGCCTGCATGAAAATTTGGGTGGATATTGATAATACAATTGTTTCAAGAGATTATAACAATGAATTGTACATATTTCTTTTATTACTGAATAAGTATAAAGATGTGAAGATGATATGCAGAACGATTTATTAATTAAAAAGCGATATAAATATATGAAGTCTGTATATATTTTTCTAAAGAAAGGAGGAATAGCAATCTCTTAAGGTACGAATTATTTAATTTTTCAATTACGATTTTTTGATTAAATTTTAACCAAATATTTATAACCTAGTCATAATGATACGTAAATAGTGAACATATTTGCCTATGTTTTAAAAAAGTTATGTTTATCAATTAGGTATTTAGCTGACCATTATTTATTATATACATATGTATTTATTATATATATATATATATATTTACATATGGTTGTCGTCAGACT